ACAAGAAGGCAGCAATCAATGTCAGCCAAACAAGAGCGGAGAAAGTTACCGCACAAGCTGCATACACAGAAGCAAACAGGGAAGTGAAGAAGAGCATCAAAGCTGACAAACGAAAATATGTGGAAGATCTAGCAATGACGGTGGAAAAGGCTGAAAGAGAAGGAAACATGAGACAATTGTACGAAACAAGAAAGAAGCTCGCCGGAAACTATCGTAAACCAGAACGACCAGTGAAAAGTAAGGAAGGTAAAGTAATCAGCATCACTGAACAACAGCGAAATAGGTGGGTAGAGCACTTCAAGGACTTCTTGAATCGACCAGCTCCACTGAACACACCCAATATCGACGCAGCATCCACGGACCTCCCAATTAATATTGGCGCACCTACGATTGAGGAGATCAGTATGGCCATCAGACAAATCAAGAGCGGTAAAGCAGCAGGACCAGACAACATTCCAGCAGAGGCAATGAAAGCAGATGTAGAAGCAACTGCGAAAATATTTCACATTCTCTTCAAGAAGATTTGGGATGAGGAACAAGTACCATCAGATTGGAAAGAAGGATACCTGATCAAAATACCAAAGAAAGGCGATTTCAGCAAGTGTGAGAACTACACAGGCATCACTCTTCTTTCAATACCAGGCAAAGTCTTCAACAGCGTATTGTTAAACAGAATGAAGGACTTCGTAGACGTCCAACTTCGAGGTCAACAGGCCGGATTTCGTAAGGATCGATCGTGTACTGACCAAATTGCTACATATACGGATCATTGTGGAACAATCAATTGTATGGAACTCACCACTCTACATTAACTTCATCGATGGACTACGAGAAAGCATTCGATAGCGTGGATAGGAAAAGACTGTGGAGGCTTCTTCGACACTACGGTGTGCCTGAGAAAATAGTTAACATCAAACGGAATTCTTATGATGGATTCAACTGCAAAATCGTGCACGGAGGACAGCTAACCGACTCTTTCGAGGTGAAGACCGGTGTGAGGCGAGGTTGCTTACTCTCACCCTTTCTCTTTCTCCTGGTGATCGACTGGATTATGAAGACATCGACGTCTGGAGGGAAGCACGGTATCAACTGGACAGTTAGGACTCAGCTGGACGATCTGGACTTCGCAGATGATCTGGCTCTCCTATCGCACACACAACAACAAATGCAAGAGAAGACTGTGAGGAGGACATTAACACCTTTACATATCTGGGCAGCATCATCGACAAGAAAGGTGCATTCGGATTGGCAAAGCAAGGGCTGCATTTCTACAGTTGAAAAATATCTGGAACTCCAAACAACTTTCAACCAAAACCAAAATCAGCATTTTCAATACAAATGTCAAGACAGTTCTACTGTATGGAGCGGAAACATGGAGAACTACGACAGCTATCATCCAGCGAATACAAGTGTTTATTAACAGTTGTCTATGCAAAATACTTCGGATTCGTTGGCCAGACCACCATCAGCAACAACGTACTGTGGGAGAGAACAAACCAGATTCCAGTGGAGGAGGAAGTCAGGAAGAAGCGATGGAAGTGGATAGGACAAACACTACGAAAAGCACCTAACTGCGTCACAAGACATGCCCTCACATGGATTCCTCAAGGCAAGAGGAAAAGTGGAAGACCAAGGAACACACTACGCCGAGAAATAAAGAAAGATATGAGAGGAATGAACGAAAATTGGAGAGAAGCGGAAAGGGAAGCCCAGGAAAGAGTTGGTCGGATAGAACTGGTGGGCGGCCTATGCTCCATTGGGGGTAACAGGCGTATGTAAGTAAGTAAGTAAGTAAGTAATGCCTCTGTGTGCCAGAAACGGCTAGTGTCTGTGAGCGTATTGATGTTAATGGTCCTAATTCTTCTTAATTTGATGGTGTATTCAATGACTTTATGTTCATTTGTAGTGGTATACTTTTTACGAAGAGAACACAATTTCTGAAATGGAAATATTTCTTATTGTAATCACTTATAACAATAACTGCTCTATTGTATTCCTTTTTGTTCAACTATACTTATGACCATAACTCGCGAGCCAAGCGTTTTACTCCCATTCAGCCTTCCGCCTCGGTGGTTTTTAGCTGCTTCTTTATTCTGGTCTTGATATCATTTTGATATCACGAGACCACAGATCTATACACCATCTCATTCAGTCATGGTCTTCCTTCTGATTTCTGGATTTAACGGGATTTTACTTGGTAATCTCGCGACTAGTAGTTACAATCTCACTACACACCAAACGAGCTCCAAGCATTCAGAGTTTTAAGTGTTTGGCTAGTCGGCTGCGAATTCTTGAATGTTTTACATTACGGTGTTGATGCAAAAAAACACTATCAGCGGATTCCTAAGGCTCCCCTAGATGGATTGAAAATACTGATGCGATAGCACACTCTGAAATTCGGGGGAAATTCTCTCTTTAACCATTGGGCAAGGGTTGTCGTAGAGCCTTGACTGGTTGAAGAATGTCAGTACTTGTAATTCAATCGTTGAAAGCTATTCTAAATGGTTTCATTGTCAGTTATCAATATGTGAGGTGTCTCTTCGCAATTAGATGCACTTTGAATAAGATTTACTCCGGAAATTTTGATGAACACTGTTCCTGGCAATCAGTAATATCTAAAATAATGTGAGAATAATGATGGACCACAGTAATAGACATAAATACGTTGCAACGATTTATAGGATTTAGGCCATGGATTTCAGGCAAGTTTGTTGCACGGTGGCCTATGTAAACAGCATGACAGTTTTTTAATTTGGATCTAATGACACCAACATGTCTGACCGGGGGGGGGTCATTTTATTTTATATAATCACAGTCGAGTGGAATTAAGTCTTCTAATTCTGCATATTTGAACGTCTGAGGGAATAGTTACCCTGTCGTTAAAATGCAAAAAGTCTTTCAGAATATAGTGATATGTACTCTCCTTTCCTAAACCTCGGGGAACCTATGTCTGCAAAGCACATATCAGCATCTCACTGCATTTATGACGATTCCAAAGTACTTATGAGTATCTGTAACAGCCTACGATAAGTAGTCAAGAGTTAACGGAATAAGTCATTCAGGATTAAAACATTATATCTAAAGCTAATATTTGCTTCCTTGCTTCGTGTAGTCATTATATTTTATATAATGGCTTTCTGAATATAAGAAAGTCAGGTTGTTTCAGTGGCTACCTCCCCATGATATCGTAATGGTTAGCAAGATCTGAATAAACATCTACTACGACTACTTTACTAGTTTCCAATATATTTACAGTGGGTACAAACCAAGATTTAACACTGATCTGTCCTCCTCTATAAAATGAAACCAGAGCTTCTGATAGATTAGCCGGCACATTTATAATTTTCATTTTTTTATTACACGACATTCATGTTAGGATTGTTGTCCCCTCATTTATAGTTTATCTGTACTTCTATTATGTACCATAGAATATCAGACTCAATATAGCTTGATGGCTAGGGAAAATAGGTGTAATTTTTCACCCGTAGAAACAGATAGATTTTACTAAAAAGTCTCAAACCTAGAACTTTAGTCGTAGTGACTCAGAGTTGTAGCTTGCCCAACTAGGGCATCTTGCTGGGAACAAGAGAAACTTTAGGTGGTAGACTAACCTGGTACCTGCTTCACCCCGAAACCATAGTTGGCAACAACACCATGGCTAGAGCCGTTCTTAAACCAGGATGGATACAAGTTCTCCCATGCTACGTTCAACACTGCCTGGATGTAGATGGTTTAGAAGAGCCATTACTCTATTTAGCACGCATTACAGATGGAATTATGGAGAGTAGTCCATCAACTGCAGCACATCTGTATAATATACTCAAAAGGAAGAATCACCATACACTCCCAAACATCCGAACTGGTCGCGAGTGTTGAAAAACTGAAAATGACTGTTGCGAAAATGCCATAGAATCCTGAATAGATCACCTCAACCAACATGTCCCCGGTCATGAAGCAGATCACAGACACCTGGAAAATCTGGAAGGTTATGTTGGTACTAGGGGAAGTATGGTGCTTAATCAACCAGGTGTAGCCAACCATGTGTCTGGCCTAAATATTATGGGAAACTAATTACTCCTCCACTGATCGCGGCGCATCAGGAGGGGTGCCTAACTAGTCACTCATATAGTACCAATTTTACATACAAGGATTCTATTATTAATATTATCTCTTTAGGTTACTGTAAATTTCAGATTGATGAATAGTGAATAGTCAATTGTGGGATGTTCAACCTATTGGTTTGGAACGGTTGTGGTGTACATTGGTAAACAAATCCCCAAAATTAACAGCTTCGAAATCTCCAACACTGATGATGACCTCATTAGCTTTCCTCAACACATCCCTAGTTGAGTGTCCTTAGTCATGCACGAGCACCAGATTACATTTGGGCACACCGGTCCGCACATCTTTCCCAGCTTCTAGGAAGTCTAGATTATATACTTCTAGATCGTTAATTAAATGAATTAACAGACATCAGCACGGTTAAACTGTGTATATCTGCGATGTCTTCAAGAGTGACTGCCTGATCAAGTCGTAAGGTTAAATAAGCAAGATCGGCCGACTACTGAAAGCACTAGCCTCATTGATTAGCTCACGTTAATCACCAGTGACGTTCATTTAAACTTCAAGTTATCAATTCCAACGTATAAACATTTCACCATAATAGGTGATTTGGTATGAGCTCAGTTATCCTTCGTTTGCTCAACAGGTACATGTTCAATTACGCGACTGGTAGTTTGTGTGCAGTGTCTGTAAAGATGACAAAATTGAGTACCTCATCCATCATTTGTATTATAAATAGCAATCGATGGCTAGTCCGAGGAGATATTAAGGATTCAAAGCAGTATTTATAGGGGAGATGAATGCTGGCTAAAGGAATTGTAAACAAGACTATATATTAGAGGTACATACTGAGGAATTGTAACTACAATTACTTTACCAGCCGTCGCTACTATAAAAGCTACTTTATAACTCTTCTCAAAGTTTAGAAAGAGAAGTAATAACTAGTCTAAAAATAGTTACCATTTATATCATGTTGTATGTTGGACATGTGATTCTTGTTTGTTGAGACGTGTGACTTTCCTTGCCGAGAAATTCGTTTTAACTGCTGTCATTTCTGCAATGAGTAAGGCACATCAACCAGAGTTGAAAAAGTAGGTTGAGTTCATGTTGAATTTATAAACCATTCATTACAGGTATCTCGACAAGCGTCTGAGACGTAAGTTGTTTTATTTGTGTATACATGTGACATGGTGATAAATTAATCGATAAGTGATGTAAACAGTTAGCTGGGTGGTATTCCGCATTGCTTGTAGCTGTGCTAGTTGTCTTTCCCATTTATTTTTTCAACCATATTCTGTTTTGACATGGATTCGCAATATCTGCCTGTCATGTACTGTTTAGTAGAGATGTTCTATTTATTTTCATGTGCCTTACTCTTATCTTGATGTTCTGGAGTATAAGTTGGATCTTGTTGCGCAGAATCAAGCTACTCGACCATCCTTTTAAGATTCGTCACGCAAAACATCGTCATTTGTTTTTTCTGGAGCGTCATCCAATTCATAGGAATCGCCGAACTTGTTAGAAGATCGCCGTAATTCTGAGAAAAAGTAATCTTGATGCTCATCTTCATTGATGTGTAAGCCTTTATGTCAAATAGTAGCATCCGAAAGAATAACACGCAAATTCACAACTCAATTGGATGCACTAAGAAATTAGGTATTGAGGAGGACTTCTCATCCTTCTCGTTGACTAAATAATGACGTACTTAGCAATTAAATGTTTAAACAAATTTATTCGGATCCGTGCTGTATGTAAGTAGTTAGAAAGCACTTTACTAACTGATCCTTGCAGATGAGGATATTTAAGACTTGAGATGATATTTTTGATACATCTATGGTAGAATAAAAGTAAGTTACCACCCAACTTCATTTTTGCAAATTACCAAAATGTAGGATTGTTTATTTGACTATTGTGGATCTGTAGCGGTTGTGTGGTATTGCCGTGTGGAGAGTGGAGCTAACGCTACGCAATCTACCCATAAAAAGCCTTTCGCGACCGACCCCAAGCAGTTGTCCCTTGGACTCTGCTGTCACGCTTCTAGGTAGCTAAGACCAACGTTAGTCCGATTTCCTCAAGTCTCTCAGTATAAGAGATCAACTTGTTCACAACCAAATCCTTCCTACATATCTTAATAACTCATCTTCACGAATAACCCTTCTCTTAGACCGGACCGCAGCAGATGGTTGCTTATGCGCTGTCCGATTAAACGGGACAGTATGTAGTCTTAGTATTTGCCAGAAATAGGCGTTAGTCTGGGTATAGTTGCAGCAATCGGTCGCCATTATCTATTCCTAGCTGCAGTTAGTCGGAGCGTAGGTAGGTATGACGAAGAGGCAACGGCGAGTGTCTCTATCTTTCCGAGTCCTTAATGTCCCGTTTGATCGGACTGTGCATAAGCAACCATCTGCTGGGATCCGATCTAAGAGAGCTAGTCCTACCCTAGGACTCTGCTATACCTACACCAACGAGACCACGGGAAGCAGCTGCAGGGTTTCCAGATACAAGGGGCGTAAATCGAGATGGTTCTTTACTTGGACAAGAGAGGCCGAATGGATGATTCTGCTCAGATCCTGTATGCGCGTATCAGGGACGCAGCATATCTCGATGGCTCCAGATTCTAGAGTCCTTACTAGGGAAGTCTGTTGTCCTATTTGGCACAAGGTTTAGACATCAAAAGCTCCAACTGATAGTGTAGAGTGGCGTTTCAAGAGACTGGGAATATTGTTCCGCATACTCGAGGCATTTGCATCAGCGGCGGGAGATGATAAAGGAGTGTGAAAAGGGTCAATCGTGGAGATTAGTTATTAAGATATGTAGGAAGGATTTGGTTGTGAACAAGTTGATCTCTTTTACTGAGAGACCTTAAGTAATCGGGCTAGCGTTGGTCTTAGCCACCTGGGAGCGTGACAGCAGAGTCCAAGGGACAACTGCTTGAGGTCGGTCGCGAACGGTTTTTAACGGAAAGTTAGTGAAGTGTTAGCTCCGCCCTTACTTTTAAAGACAGAAATTCGTGGAGTAAGGTGAGGTTCGACATTTTTTACCTCTTCCCTCCGTGGTAATGACTGCAGATGCTGGTCATCCGAGGGAAATATGTTCCTATTGTCATACCCGCCTCTACAGTCAGCAGTACGACTTCGCCCTCTGACCTTATTTTGTTGCTTCTAATCTTACCGTCCCCCATTCGACCTGCCTGGCAGATAGGACCTAAAGGAACATGTGTTCCAGCCAGTATGAGTCGGTTCGGTTATCACGATAAGTAAGCCCGACCACCACGTCATGGTGACAGTTACGGTTGGGTCTACCAATATTCGCCACTTTTGGAATCTTTGTGACATTTATGTAAACCGATAATATCATTAAATAGATTATATCTGTTATATGTGTCTTTTGAATGTCAATTTCACCAAAGTTCACATCAAGTTTTTATCTCCGAATAGTATGTGTCCACCATAGACCCATCTTGTTTTGTGACATTGAATATGAGCTAATATTTGTGTTGAAATAACACCTATGGACAAAACATTACATATGAGATCCTAGTATTAACTCTGTCTCTTTTAGACCAAAATACAACTCGGTCCATAAACCTGACCTATTAATACATTTTACTACATTAGATTATAGAGCATGGAACCTACCTACTTACAATGGCTGTTATTGTTATCACTAACACTATCCTACAGTAAATATAGTTTTAGGGCTCATACAAACTGACCTTTTTGAATCGGTTACGCCAAGTAACGCTTGTAAAGAATCAAAGCCGAATTCCAATTAAGTTTCATCATATCTCCAAAACTTTTCAAATGTTCGTTTATTACCGGCAGTCCTCTCATTTGGATTAGAGGTATCCAAAGAAAGTTTCTTCGTTAAGTACAGAGTATCAGTTATATGAACAAAGTTGTCAGTCATGTAAACGTATCACTTTACATCTTGGACGAAATACTAATATTACTGCTTATTATAACTTCAGGAAAACTGCTTACTGTAATTACAAATAAGAAGTTAATTGTTACTGTAAAATAGACTAATATTGCTTGATTCAAGGAAGAAAATAGCACTGAATAAATATTCACATATCGATTACCAATCCACAGCTTATTAAAGTTAAATGAAAAATTACAATGACCCATACATTATTCACTTGTCTGTGCTTTTATTCACTTTCATTGCGAATCCCATGATATCCAATTTTTATGACACACTAATGATTCTATTCGTCAAGCTTTTAGAACTAGGAATCTTGAGGACAGTGTGTAAATTATTCGACTGTATAGTCTTTTAAAATATTGACTTCGTAACTACCGTTGCGTGTATCCGAATACGCCTGTTGATATTGAATATATGCACATGTATATTGTTCCACATTGTGAATTGTAATACTCATTGATATTTTACTGCTTTAGTCTTTCCGTCACTTTAAATATCTCATATTCTTTAGTATTCTTACAAAAATTATTCACAATAGCAAGAAATGTTGATTCTTGCCGCATTGTTTCACTCACAAAAGTACTAATTTCCTTTCTTCTCATAGTAAAGCTCAATGCAAATCGAGAAGTCATCGGTATTCTGCGCGGTTTTGATGCTTTCATGAATATTGTTGTTAGTGATGCCTATGAAGTCACCAAGGATGGTACTCAGATCAAGATTGATATGGCCGTTGTCCGTGGCAATAGCATTAACATGGTGGAAGGCGTAGATCGCATTTAAGTGTATATATTTACCTGTTTTTGTTCAATAAACTATTTTCTCTTTCCTTGGATCTTCACTTTTTACTTGTCAGGTGTTTGCTCTTGCGATTAAGACGCTGACTATGTCAGAGTATCAATGAAAATAGTTTCTAATTTCCAGGTCGTCTTAGTGTTTATTAACAACAAATATTAGGGTTTAGTAATGATGCTCAGTGTCTATTAATTATATAGAAAATTATACTGTGAAAACACGGGGACGAGCAACATTGCATTCAATCAGATCGTCAAGCTAACACAGGTATGCTTATGTATATATCTGAAAATGTTGTCTGTTTATAGGGTTGTGGAGATTGCCGAGTTTCATTAAAATCATCAATTGACCAATATCAAGTCACCATTAGAAACATGAAAGCACTAGACAGCCGCCTAGTGCTGGTCCAAAATTGACTGATTCGTGATTTTAATATAAATATTAAACTAATTGAGGCAATTTCTGAGTGAATAGTCTCAATCAAATGGATTGTATTACTTAAGCCTGTTACTCCTAATGAAGCATAGGCCACCGACCAGCATTTTCTAACCTGTTCCGTCTTGGGCTGCCCTTCCCAAGTTTTCCCAAATGTTATTCGAGGCTTTAATGTCAGCCTACGACTCTCAACACAGGGTGTTTTTCATTCCTCGTTCTCTCTCGCCTTGAGGGTCCCAAGTTAGGTCTGACTGACTCTAACCTGATTTTTGAACATCGTATTCATTAGTGCATCATTTCATACAGCAATAAAATTCAGTGTCTGTTTTTGGAAATACCGAGTCAAATTATTTATTTATTGTCGATTATATATGTTTTTGATATCGTTAACAGTTCTAAGAGTGAAGTTGAGCCACCATTTCTTCCTTTCCATATGAGTAGTTTTTCGTGTGAATGCTTTTACAATTAGTTGAATTCATAGCTTACTGCATCACGACTTTCTAACTCGTCTCTTTATTCTCTAATCTTATATCATGTGAGATTTGGATTTACGATACCGGTCGACATATACGTCATGATAGATTTTATGAAGCTAAACAGAAAAGTGATTGACAGCAGTCAATGATACTGTTGTCCAACAAACAAAGCTTTCTTTTTCGGAACAAACAAGCCACTTATATCTAAATCTAAATGTGAGTACATACAATCAAGAAGTACATAAACGACTAGACACTACATATTTTGTAGGTTACCCGTCTGCCAATGAAATAAAGACCAAGATGTTCGTATATATATATATATATATATATATATATATACATATATATATATATATATCCCTTAAGCTAATTGGACATATTGTGGTTTATACTTGTCATCTTCCAAGTAAACAATGGTTTTATAGGAGAAGTTCATAAACTTGTCGATATCTGACTACATATGGTTCTATTGTTTTGTTCATGTGTTGACACTCAAAAATGTGCTTCCAAGAGTTATATATAATGATGGGAATGAACGTCACTGGTTTGATTATGTCATCATTTAAATTTAATTGAAAAGTGTTTATCAGTACGGAGAAATAGATACGAAATGATATTTACAGAACCGAAACAGGATAGTTAACTATGAAATTTATAATTGTTAACATGTATGATGAAGATTGGGCTTAACTCCGTAGGTTTGTGGAAAAAATAAACAGATAATCAGATATATTACTGAGAATAAAAATAAGTAGTTTGGTTCAACTTTGTATATTTTCTGGCCGTCAACAATTTACCATAATTTTCATTTCCCAATATTCTTTCCTTGAGAGATTGAATCGGAAATTTGATCTCTTATCAAGTCTCTAACATCGGTATGTTATTACGAGTGTTCGCTAAAGTGTATATAAGCTTTCTTGAACTACAATTTAAGAAATAGTATGTGACAACTATGTCCAATACTAATCAAAAATTTGAGATAAAATATAGTCAAAGGAGTATACTTCAAAGTTTACAAGTGGTATCCAATAGGACGACATGATATGTCTTCACTGGTATCAAGCATAGACATGAATTTGACAGGAGGAACTTCAAGACTGAAGAAACTAGGAATTTTAGGGAACTTTTAAAAGCTTGATATTCAGTTCATTACATATGACAAAATGAATCCAATTTATGAATCCATAAGGATATGGTCATTCAATCGCAAGGTAAAAGATCAACCTAAAACGACAATGAACATAAATGCAAGAGAACATAAAGATTTTTTTAAAAAACCCGACGGAAATAAGCAATCACAAATGAGTCTTTAGAAACGAGTTGGTGATTCTCTTTCGAGTAACTAAAACTCATCACTTTTACATGAATTAGGCTTTGGTTATGCTGTCCGAAACGACAATGAAAATTCAGTCAAATCACCTAGCTTAGATAATAGGACTCCGACAAAGATTAGTTATATTTTGCTAACAATTGACATTAGTTGAAGAATGAAGGAGTACTTAGTAGTAGCTGTGTTGTACTGGTGCTAACATTTTCAGCTGTTTAAAGCTACGACTTCGTACGTGATTAATAAAGCATCCCTTTAGAACACTATACTGAAATACAATAGTTCCAATCTAAATCTGCTCATTATATCAAACTGATTAAGCTTTTGAATGGCTAAATTTTACAAACCTTTAGCTCCAGGTATTACATAAACTATGAATTAAAAGTAAAATCACTTTAAAAAACTCGATTATTGACAGAAATATTTTAATTCACTCTGTAGAGATTTGAATTATTCGATTGTTGATAATCTTGATCGAATTTTTTGGTCAGTCTTCGACAGTATTTATGGATTCGGTTCCGAGTATCACAAATATGTAACTATTCACAAGTTTTTATAAAAAACATTTAATATTGCTAACAGTGTAATTTAGGATGTGCGCCTCATATTATTAGGGATTTTGTTATGAACGCATGTCACCACGTCAATTGATATGCTTGAACTATTACGAGTTCGCCATAGTCGGTAAACGAGAGCCAGGATCGATGATCCGGCGACACGACAGGCTACTCTAATCCGAGCGTCCCGAACTCCCATTAAATAGAAGAGGAAGACTTGATATGAAGTAGAACGTGTATTCTACAAGCATCCAGAAAGTACGGGGTTCGAGTCCAGAAGAGACCAAGGATCCGGATCATAAAATTTGACACATGATGCATATTCATACATTTAGGTCGAACAGGAAACGACATTTGAAGTATGTGACATTGATGGTTAGGCGGACCAATAGGAATTGACCAGTAGGCAAAATAATACTCTTAGGATATTTGATGAATATCCTAACAGATTTGACCGATGAACGTATCTATATCCCAATGTTGGCGATCACTCCGCTACTCCAACACAGTAACTTTCCAAACCTCCAACGTGTTCCATTGTAAAGAACATTCTATCGGTTCTGTAGAAATTTCTTTGTGGAATTAATGTTTAATAATATTAGAATGCTAAAATACATAAATATAATAAAGATTTATGGGTTAAATCAATGCCAATCTCTACAAACCCATTACTTAAAGAGATAGGATATTTGTAAAACAAATGCCAAAACAAAATATAACTTGTTTTAGAACAGAAAACAATACCGCTTTTGATAAGATCATCGCCGTGTTCTGATTAAGATTGAATTATAGGTTAGAAATACAAGTAAATTACCGTTTTAATGCATCATATATAAAAACCTTATTCTGTTTTTAACTGTCCATTCTACATTTAAAGGTTTTTTGTATTTTGTAATAAGTGGAAGATTTATTGACCATAAATGTTTTGTGATTGAATATTCCTTTCTACTTACACTGGCAGCTGATTATATGTCGTCTTGTTAGCGGAACATAGATGGAAATAAAGCATGGCTGTGTAAAGCTGCGCGCTAATTGGCTAAATCTTATCAAATCAGTACTAGTCAATACTTGGAGTATATTCCAGAAGCTTCTCATGTGAAAGCTATGAAGATACTAATGTCGTTCCTGTTTCACCTTCACTTTGGCTTCTTACTTCCATTTAATCTTGCTATTTGGAATATAATCTTTTCCTGTTCTACCGTGTGTTGATTTGTAGGACTTGTTGAGTGTATTGTTGTCAGAGAATACTAAACAATAGCTGGAATAGCTGGGTTTTACTAAGAGAGATTTATAACAAGTATGAATTTTTCTATTTGGTGACTCAGAATATTTGCTAAAAACACAATTCTACAAGTCTCAAACTGAAATCAGTTTTGCTAATATTTTAAAATTCCTATCATGCAGCATTGATTATGTAATTGTTTTGTGTTTTACACGCTCAAACTAGCAGAAAATATGAAGAACATTCAATATCAGGATTGATCGATATTTTATACGATATCATGGATTGAGGCTAGAACTGGAAAATCTGAAGTTGTAGTGTGTGTGTGTGTGTGTGTGTGTACAAACATGTTGAGCCCATAGGGCTTGGTCCTGGATTTATGCCTTTCGACCTTGTCAGTTATTCGCTGATATGTTGATCGTCTTTATTTGTAGGTGTGCATGCTTGATTCGCTTATTACATGTCTAGCCTATTATCACTTGCATATAAATACCGTAGTTATGCTTTATCGTATGGAGTTGGCTCAATTGCCTTCTCAACTTGGCTTAGTTTTGCCTTACGCTTTGTATTCTCATGTCTGTCTTCGTGAACGATTACATGAAATAAATTCATCCACAAAACCATATTTAGCTTCTTTTTACCACTGTCACATGAACACAGTTTACCGAAGTATAATGTATGGAAATTCAAGGGAAGATTTATTTCATAGTATATTTAAACAACGTTCAAATCAGAGTCAGATCGTGAGTCACTAAAGTGATGAAACCCTACTTCAACTTTAATGCAGCCACTAAAATGTATAGCATATTACTACAAGGAGTAAATTCGATTTATGTATATGTATTGATTCTATTGCGTTCCAAAATAAAATGGATCAAACTATTCAGTGTTGCCTTTTTGTAGGCATCCACATTAATTGCATTACTGGATAAAAATGAAATGGCGGGATGTTAATATCTGATTCATTGAGAACATATAACTTGTCACATACAAGTCCAAATTTCACACAAGATCAATAA